TCAGAACAACGGCTTTAACATCTATGTTCAGTGTTGTTTTGAAGGTTGCGTAGGAAGCACTAGGCGAGCTCAATGGGGGTGGGGCGCGCTAATGGCTTCAACGTAGGCGCTTGTGTCCTTAACTGTGGCAAGACCAACTCCGTCACCTCTGCCACATTGGATGGATGCGCTTGGTAGTGCTGCATGTTCGCACGGGAGAGAGCTGAATTTGTCGACAAGTATCCCAACCTTTGCGTTAAGCTGTTACAGTTAATTGATTCCAGGTCAGTGCCACTAAACAACTACCTTCACGAACAACCGCAGCTATCAATATGAGCCACTAGAGTGCGCAAAGGTTTACTTGAAGGAGGCACCGTCATTGTGTAGGGTGTGTGGGCCTGCACTGGACGCGGCTTGCTGGGTCTCTGAAGACCGGAGGGTACAGCAAAGAGATCAGGTGTGTGTTGGATTGATGCTGATTGTTTGCATCTGAAAAGGGTTGCACGTTGCTAGCGAGGCATCATGATAACAGGGAACGAGAGTGCATCCTATGACTTATTAGAATTATCACTGGGTCTTCATATCGCGAGAGATCAGGGGGATAATTGGTAAGTTGAGTAGTAGTACATCGTTGTTGGAGAAGCTGCTATTTTGAGGATCGCAGCGAGATACGAGAGTTGCCTTGGCGGAGAGAGTGGTATGGTTGTGGGTGAGCAGAGAGCTGGTCGAGGGGGTGTCAGGATAATTAGGCGCAGGAGAGCGTGAGGCATGCAGGTTGTGGCAGTGTCTCAGAGAAAGAGCGGTCGGAGATTGGGAGCTGCGACAGATCACGATCAGAGGGGAAGGATCGGAATTATTAAGAAGTTCACCCTGGTGAGGGACCGGCGGAGGGCCTCCTAAAGTGGTGCGAAGCGTGAAGCAAAAGTGGTGGAACAGGAGGAGGTAGACCTCGTTGGAGCGCTATCAAGTTTGAATCCGCCGCGGCTGATCGGGCACGCACGCGATCAATGCTGAGTTCACTCGCCAGCAGGTCTATACGGGGTGAGGGTGATTAGATAGGTGAGAGAGGCGTCATGGGGGAGAGGGCACACAGATGGAGAGGCGTAGGGCAGTAGGGGCATCAATGCGCTCTAATCAACGGGCAGAGGAAGTGTGTGTCCATTGCGTCAAGCTACGAGGCGCGTTGTCGGCGATGGTTTTTCCCGTTCTTCAGTGTACAACGTCACCATCGGTCTGAGACTTAATTTGAGGATATGCGGGTGCCTTTCCAGCGGGAATTCGTCCTTTAAAAGAGAAGGTGGTAAGATTTTGGAATCAGAACAAGCGAAGGTTAACCTGAGCTGAAACTTATAACCTCTTGAAACGTGTTAACTTATTGACAAATCGTGTTTGAAGAAACTCCTAGAAAATCCTTACAAGACATGTGACATTCAGAAATTTTTTCTAATGTATTCATGAGTAGGACCACATTCCGTCAAAGGCAACTCCCATGTTTACTTCAGCGCACGTAGGGTTAAAAAGCCTCATATCGCTAAGCTAGTGGCAAGGAGATCGAATATGAGCCGTTAATTATCAGATTCCGTCACGCTCAGCAACGCCATTCAGTCAATAGTATCTGACAAGTGCACTATATCATAAAGTGATGCATAATCTTTACCACAAAGTTCACGTACGTACAGCTCGGAAGGTCGTAGGAGGATATTTTGCGGATTTCGACCGCCAACCTCCACATCGAAGTATATCTTACCGCCATTATCGGAAACTTTGCAATTCAATACAGGAAGAAAAAAGATTGAAATGCGAAAAACAAATAAAGGAGCAGAAATAAGCTGAAACAATAGAGAACTTAGAAGAAATTAATTTCCATAGCTGATTTTTATGGACGTGTCGGTTGTTGGCATGTAGCCAGCAGTTGCTGTGAGCATGTTCAGACCCGTAATCTTCCCAGCCCTGGCTTGTAAGTAACTAACGAGGTGGTCGTCATTATTTAAGTCCTTTTCGGGGGTAGCTCCTGCTTTTTTATTGAGGTCTGTTCAGTTAGCACGAGAACTCTCTCATTTTATCCCGGAGTTTGCCTTTAACCAACAGCTTAACCATTTCATGCTAAAAAAAATTTGCATTTTGTGGACGCCGTGGTCATTTGTGGTATGTGGTCTGCATTCGACGCACTTCTGGTTTTCTAAAGCAGACGGATGTATTATATACTGTAGCTTCCTTCAATACTGTATTTTTTACAGTAGCCCAACGTTCACTCATGGATGGATGCAGTTCCTGCAATGGCACGTGATGCTTAGCATTACCTTGCATACCACGTCACTGTGGTTAGCGGTAGCGATGGCATTTATTAGGCGAATGACGCTACGGGTAACTCGATTGAATAGGTCAGTTACAGCTTCGAAGTTGATAGGGAAGTGCAAGAAAAACAGTTGTTCTGTTCATTAGACCATTTCCTGATTCTCTTCCTGTCGTTAGGTGGGTACAGCGGAAACACTTAAAGAAACATTAGCGTAATTTCGCATTTTTTCCCGACATGAGTACGTCAGTTGTGATAAGTGAAGACGATGTACAAAGTTACACACAAGAAGATTTTCCGAAGAGGAAAAACTCATGAAAATCACTTTCTGGGGACGGCCGCGGGCACTTCGAGAGGAGAAAAGAGAACACATGAGAAGAAGTGCACCTTGAAAAAGCCACGTCTCAGTTGTTAAAAGAATTGGGTTGAAGCTTTCGAATTTTGAGAATAGAGACGAAACGATTGAAAGAATAGAATGCGATAGAACTGCTATTGCCTTAGGTGCAAAAGGTGAAAAAGAAATCTCAGCTAAGGCACTCAGAGAGCCAAGTGTAATAAATTAAGCCACCAAAGTTGTGAAGATTTACGGCAGTCAAAGTCCTTCCGATTTTTCGAACAGTTCACTTAAATAAGAACATGTTCTGTTCTTTACGTTTTTCTCGTGCATTATGGGTTTGAAGTCAATATTTATGGGCTAGATATAGGCGTGACCTCCCCGTGGGCGATCCCTTTAACCCATTCGCTACCGCGGGGGATTTTCAAATCCGCCCGTTCGGACTAGCGCTGGATTGCGCGATAGCAGCCGCCTGTGGCTGCCATTGTCCCTCAGGACAGCCATCTTTTTTTCGATTCTTTCTATATATCTTCTGCTTTCCACTCTTCCACTCCACTTCGGTGTGCTGAAGACAACCCATGCACGGGTTTTTGCCGAATTCGATGAGAACTGTTGCGTCGTGGGATAAATATCACAAAATGGCGATAAATGGGCATGGGAAACGAACGTCATTGTGCTAGGACTATCAATAGTCCTTACAGAATAAGTTTCAGGGCAAACTTTTCCAACTCTTTCTCTTGAAATTCTTGAAATCTTGAAATTTTGAAGTCAGGAGATTTTTCGTCAACAAAATTTAAGTGGATGAAGACTTCCTGTGCACAGGGCTGGCTTAGATGAATAAGGGTATAAGGACATTTTCAGGAGAGAAAACTGTTCAAATTCTGACTTCTTTTTGTGTGAAGAAAGTTAAAATTCATTGCTAGAGCCTGTCATTGCCAATATCGGCTAACCGGCCCAAGATGTTTTACGTGTGAGTGCTGGCAAACTGAATGGTAGGTATGGTAGGTACACCATGAAGAGCTGAGTTGAGACGAAATGGTGCTCTGGTGGCGTAACCTGTTGCGCACTTGCGCGGTAAGCAAGAGGTGCGGGTTCGAGTCCTGTGTGGGGCGAAAGTTTTGTTCACAACCCAGCGTTCTTGTGAAACGTGACCAAATTCTGTCTGAAACCCGGCGGCTACCGGTGACTGCCATTGTCATGAGACAGCTACGAGGGCAGAAAGTAGAGCATTCTGAAATGACTGCTTATCTATGCCAGTCCTCGCTGTAATCAGAGACCTAGTTGACCTAATTGGACTCCAAGACTGATTGCTTTCTCGAATATTATGGCAATCTCCACGGGCCATTCTATTTAGCTTTGCGAGTCAAGTACTTCTACAACACAAACTCTCACGATTTGTCTAAGGAGAGACTGGTCAGTGTCAGCGGTGGTGAACATGCTTGGAAATAGACAGTACTCGTTAGAGCTGACTACAGACGACTCTGATTCAACATATGAATAACTGTCAGTCCCTACACAACGCACTGTTGAGAACAGTATGTACCGATTTTGAGAAAGATGGCGAGGGCTTGAAAAAAGCGGATATTACCCGTGTCTTAACCCAATACATTCCGTGAAACAGAAAATTTGAAATCGCTTGTTCCGGAAGGAAAAAAAAACACAAATCGATGAATGACTCACTGCCTGACGTGCTGATTCCTTTGTTAGTGTAACTGAGCTGGCCATCATTGAAGTTCCGCTACGACTTTGAAGAGAAATTGGGTACATGGTGATTCTTGAATACTTCATTGATCTGCTAGGTTTTGCTTAGTTGTATGCAAAACTTAAGTGCTCGCCATTCACGCCATTTTAGCTCATGGCAACGTCCGACATTTGCGTGGAAGCTCTGCATTGCAATCTATATAGTCGTGGCGGTGCTGTGTATACCAAGCCTGTTCGTGCATGAAATCGACGTCTATAAGGAGGTCATGTGGGAACCATCACTACAGTGCGCCTCACTCTATCCACCCAACTACACCGAGCCAATATACACGTTTACGGTCAGTTACCATTCATTGAAATTTTGATGGCGAACATGGCGGGGCTGGCGAACATTAGGAATCGGAAGCACGGTGAAATTTTGCTTTAGAAGGGGCACTCTGTTGAGATACTACTTGGGGGGACGCTATGCGCAGAGCCAATTACACACAGCGTTCCCACCTCGTACCTTCCTCCCCCTTCGCAGGACTAAGCCTGAGGGGTGTGTAAGCAACTTAGCAACTTTTGCCTCTAAATTCATACTCTTCTCCTAGGCAAGTACACTAATACCCTCTGCTGTTCTCAAGCTGAGCAGAATAGATGCTATTTCTTTGCCAATAATGATTGCGCTGCAGGAAGGGTGTGACCCAGCAGTGGAAAAGAAGCATGTTTTCGAACAGCCCCTGCAGCTGATCTGTGGCTCAGTCGAAGCGAATGGTGTAAGAAAGAATGTCCACAGACTCTGATGGTAAAAGATAAGAGGGTAGCGGTAGGAAGACGTGGACAAGAGCCAGGCCAGAAAGGGAAGGCCTAATGCCATTGTTTCTGAGCTCTACCACAGCTCTTATGGTTAGAGATATGCAAGGAGAAGAGAGACGGAAGCAAAAAGAGGAGGTTCCTGGTATTCTAGGAAACTCATTCCTGAAAGGATCTCTGTAATAACTCCTTTGCTGGTAACCTATTTCAGCAAATGGTTTTCATTTTTTGTAGATGAAAGATCATCCATATTTTTTTCAGGTCAGCAAAGCGGCTACAGCGAATAACTGCAGCATATTCAAGTTGAATATATGGATGATTGGACTCGTGTTCAAAGTGAGTGCATATCGGTATTATCTTTCTCGATTCAACTGTGCATCTTATCATTATAAAACCTTAGTGGTAGTACTCAGCGTCTGCAATTGAACTTGATTTGTCTTTATCCACATTGTCGAGCCTCTCTCACCTTCATGTAATATCGGTTTACTCTTGGATATGCTTCCACACATTGGCTGATCACAGATATTTTAACCATAGTCCAAATCAAGAATTTGTTTACCATAGGAAAAATTCAATGACCGGAAACCCGAGGTTGAAATGAAAGAATGAAATAGAAGGAAGGAAGGAACTGCGTTAAGAAATTCCTCGATGAAAGGCGAAAGTTCGAAAGAAGAAAACTACCTACGAGAGAGGATAGACGACCTTCTTGGAGGCGCGAACTGAAACACAATTCGCATCAAGATCTGGGCGATCTGCATGGGCATTTACGGACTGCGCAGTGGTGGCGAATACGCGCCACGCTTCACTCTCCATGCGTAGGCTCGGTGCGTCTCTCAGTGTATTAGCGTGGAAAAGAGCGGAAAGCGTATCTGACAGGGCAGTACACATGAGGGTCGCATCAAAGTGGCTCAACGGGCAGGAAAGCTTCTATTTCCAGATTTGTAGACATCTTCTATCCTTTTCGTGCATCCAGCTGACATCTTACACATGATTACCAAGCTTCCTAGCTCATCACCAGATCAACCTTGCGGAGAAGTGATTTATCGAATGAAGTGAGGATCAAATATGTGAAAACTTTGGAATGCGTACCTTCAGTATTTTCTCACAGTACTATTTGATATGAGGGCTTTTCTAGGCTGAGGCGATTTAACTAGAAACGGAGCGCAGCTGTTTGCGTGCCGACCTTTGTCTAAAGTGCTCAAAATTGTATTTTTCAGGTTATTCCATGTATACTACTGTATGTCATTCAGCGTAGGTCTGGTCTAATAAGATTCGTCAAGCGCGAGGCAACATCGACGGAGCTCAAAATGTCAGCCAATGAACAATGTGAAATAGTCCTGCGACAGCCAATACGTCCGGGACCAAAGTGAGTTTCGCCAACATAGGTTTTGTCTTCCGCTCTCTTGGGTCATCAGGGCAGCATGACGCTAGAGAAACCTGATCTTACCTGGAGACGAACGGCTCCCCATTTCTTTTGACTATACAAGCGAGAGCTCGGATTAGCAGGTCTCATGGCATTCCCCTTTGTGATGGACCAGCTTATGTGGCGCGCCTTTAAAGCAGCGAAGCGTGGGCTTTTGGGGCCAGATATACACGTTGCCGTATGACCATGTGCTACCTCTCTGGCATATACCAGGCATGTCGACCTTCAATTTTTCTAAGGACGTCATGACAGATCAGACCGTCCAACAACGAATGTGGTTGTGATCTTGCTGTGTTTTTGATAACAGAGCTGCCTCAGGGCATCATCTCCATATTGTGTGCCATTTTTACTACAGACGTGCATAATGTGAGTATTTCGTTATTGAATCTGCATTAGGTCGGTCCATACTTTCTAATTTTTCATACGCGTTTGTTTTATTTTGCATTCCAAGAATCGAGAACATTCTGTGCTAAGGCGAAGGTGTGCAATTTGCCCCCTTCAATATTAAGTAGGAGTTGCTGTGCTCGTTAGTGTGTTATGGCGTTGCATCGAGTGGAAAACTCATAGCGTCTCTTATGTTCCAATAAGCACCTCGTCGACGAGTCGGTACGTTGACTGGATACAGAGCGGATAACTAGGAGCGTGGCAAGGCACGACCACTTGTTGTGACTGCGCTGCAAACGAGTATCGCGCAAGGTTATGGCGGGGGAGGGATGCACACGCAGACCTTGCCTTGTCTAGACTTTGAGAATGACGCAGGACCTCTGAGTTCGTCTGTCGCCTCCAAGTGCTGCGATAACCAAGGGCAATCTCGCAATGTTCGCAAGTGTGCTGAGCCCTCCCTGCAGATGTTTGTCGTCACGGTCGGCTGTCGGAAGACTTCACTATGTTCAGGTCCTACGCGGAATATAAACGGGTTGAATCGCATCGGACTCAAAATACATCGCCGCATCACTCACTTCCACAAACACTACTCATTACCTTAGTTTCAGTCGCGACTCACTCGTCCATATGATCTCAGTAGGGGGCATGTTTGCAACACATCTCTCCATCTTGTCATCTAGTAGTTTGCTAATAGTTCTAATAGTTCTATCTAATAGTTTAATTGATATAGCAGTTTACATTTGCATTCTACTATTCGCACTTTCGTTTAACTCTTTTCAGGCTACATTTCTCGCTAGTTTATTACTTACCTTGCTTTCACGTGAACTAGGTAAGTAGTATGTTCTCTCTCATGAGTTTTAACAACACGTTACTCACTCGGCATACACACGCTATATCGCATTTGCCGCATAAGTTTGTCGGTAAATCGTCTAGTGGCTACTGAATCGACATCCCCTTTTATCAGGGGGTATTACGCCGCGGCGCTAGTGCGCACATCTACTTGTTGGGGCAAGGCGAATAGGCCTTGCTCTCGAAGCAGATATGGACGGTCAAGGCATCGGCGCGCACGCACTCCCTTCCAAGGTGTTTTAGGCACCCACATAGTAAATAGTTTTTGTCGCGTTCCGTAAGTCGGCACCGGATGCACATGCTCGACCCAACCACGCGGCCACCACGAGACTCACACCTGCACCACAGCACAGCACAGCGAGTTGATTCGAATATGCCTAACTTGGGCGCTAATCTGCTAATTGGACTCCGATGCCCGTGTTGTACAAGGCGATGCTGAGCAGGATTTACGTCATTCCATCCCATGCTCAAATGTTTACAGCTTCGCAAGATCGCGAAGATGTGGAGCTGACATTTGCTAAAGTCGCACCAGCTCGATGAGTGCACTATGAAGCGATGCTATTCTACTGTTCCCCGCATGCTTCCAGTTGGTTACTCATCCTGTTTGATGTCGATGAGAATTAGCTCAGTTTGTGTAGTGTGATCACCCTTGCAGGTGACTAATAAAGTGAACCCTTAGTGTTAATTCTCTCGTAGTTCGTCCAGTTGAAGTAATACAATCCACGAAGAGCTCTGAGCTGATGGAAGGTCGAGAAAGCGCTTGCGCACTGGAAAATCTGCCAATGATTTGGTTGATGCGGGAGGCTGCTCTTGATATGAAATCATGGTGGAAAGCATCAGAAAAAATGGTTTGAAGGAACAGGAATTCTGCTTAAGAGAAGCAGCAGATGATTAATGTCAAAGGATTGAGCGTGTGTGCTACGTTGCGGAGCATGTTGGGATGCTTCAATGATCTCTGAAGGTTTCCCTTACCAATAATTGTAATGGGCTGTTGGGGCTAAGAAATTATGTGCCGACCTAGTAGTGTCATATTTTAAACACACAAGAGCAATGTCATTCAGATATTTATATTATTATTTGGGTGATATACTGGACCTTTTATCATTACTGAATTCATCTGTAAATTTCGTCTTGTACTGTGTAATGTCGTCTCGCTATCGGCAAACATTTTGGTTGGTATTTCTGCCAAGCGGAGCACAATCGTGAGTTTTCTTGAAAATTTTTTCAAGAGTAGTTCGTCAGTTGTGGAATCCGAGAAGCGCAATTTTGTTCCCGTTAATGACGCAGTACGCTGTACCGTGTGTGGGTGCAGCGTACTCTCTGGCAAATGGTTTTGCCTACCTCAAGAAAAGGCAAAAGATCCCAATGATAAAGGGGTTTTAGGTGCGCGATAGTAACTAGTGGTTGTCAGAATTGTGTTTCCACGATTTACTGTAGTGCACAGATCCACATGCTCAGTTCTGCGCTACTTCGCATGTCCTTCGAGGGAAATTCATTTTTTCTGTTCGCATGTTACGGTAGTCGCCATTAGAGTGCACGGTGCCCCTTCCTCTCATACTTGGGTAATAAAATGGTTGACTAGTTATTATCAAAAACGCAAGCAGTCACAAAGTGAAATTCATAAAGGAGCACAGAGCAGAATTCTGCAAGATTCCATCATAGAAGAAGGGAGTTAAGCACTCGAAGGCGAGTTTACCTTGAAAAGAGAGCCCGTCGTAGAGTAAATGGAACATGGGTGAAGAAAAAATGGCAGAAAAAAATCTTATTCATTGATTAGCAACGAGGTTACCGGAACGGGTAGCAAGTAATCATGTCATAATGAAACAAATATATAGGAAAAAGTGTCGCGAACATCTTAAGGGGTCCTTTTATTGAGAGAATGGAATTCCGGGCCTCATGAATCAGTAATTTCAGATTATGCATTACCAAGCAGACAACTACTGCGAGTAACTTTAATTTCACTCAACTGCAGTTACAACGAAAAAACAGCAACAAAGTGAGGTGAGTATTGAAGAGTTTCGCTCTCTCATAAAAACAGCAAGATGGAGCATTCGGCATGTTCTTTCCGGAGCGTTAATGGGGCATCAGTACCCATTCCGTTTTTCATAAACATCATCGTCATTAGATTCAGCTGCAAATCGACCTTGCCATAGGCGCAGACGAGACTAGCCGGCATTCGTTCTGTTTGCTCGATATTCGGCGTTATAGGAACGATGTCGTCAGAAAACGAAGGTGGTGTAGTTTGCCGTTGACCTTCACTCCCATGACCCACGCATGACCTTATCAAGAACGGCGGTGAAGGGTTTTGGCGAGATGCCGTCGCCCTGTAAAACCCTCTCTTCACGTCGATGATGACCTCCTTGTAGAATGGTGAGATTCTGGTCGTAACGTTGCCGTAGAGCTCACGCACAGTTCTTATGTACTGAGCAGGAACGTGTGCTGAAACCCTCTTCTAGACACCTGCTTGCTCACCCAATCGGCTGTCCTTTTTTCAGTCCTTGTCAATCTTGTTACGGATGACTCGGAGAATAATATGTAGATTACAGTCAGCTGTAGAATTGGTCGATAGTTGCCTGTCGTCCAAGTCTCCCTTTATTTACAGCAGCACAGTCCTGGTGGTTTTCCGCGGCGTGGGTAACTCCATTCCGACAGGCAACATGTGAAGAGCCGAGCCGAAATCTAATGATGGCTGGCGATGCATTATTCAGATGTTTCGGTTCAACCCTGCCGAGACCGGGTGCTGACGATTCCTTACTGACGTGATGACATGTCGGATTTCGGAAGAGAGAAGTGAGGGAACGACGTATCCACCCTCTTGCAGTTGGAAAGTGGGCAGATGGACATGGCTATCGAAGAGATCCGAGTAGAGTCGTGGATGATTTTCTCCATTGTCCTCCGGGATGCAGTTACTCTCATATCCGAACGTCGGAGGCAGGTCATCTTTGCTTGTAGCTGGCAAAGCTTCGACCGCATCGCGGATGCTCCTACCAGCCTCTGATGCTTCAGCTAATACTGCTGCTCTTCGCTCCGAGATCTTCCTTTATCGCCTCTCTGCATTACTGCACAAGCTTGGACGTGAGTTGGTGATTGCTTGCAGCTCGTACGGCTCCACGCTGGCGTATCAGCCTGAAAGTTTCCGGAGACAGACGTCCCTTGGTGAATTTCTAACTCTCTGCCTTCCTGCCACAATTGTGAAGATGTTTGACGAGCCGGTAGTACTCCTTACTCCTCGTCGATGTTTTCGATGACGGAATCCTCCCATGAGTTGACAAGAGAAGTGAAGTGATCCCATTTAATGACTGTTCTGGAGCTTCGCTTCCTGAACTTTGCTGCTCTCTCAACACGAATCTGGAACTGTCCATCAGGTGAAAGTCCAACGGAAGTTGAGAGCGCTTCTGGAACTGTGATTTACCATGGATGGTGCTGGTCGACCTGATGAACTCAGACAGTCTTACGCCCTGCTCGTTCCAATCCATTCCGTGAGTACCAATGTGAGGTCCTTCAGAGATATTTCTTGGAACAATCTTAGCGTTGCATTCGCATTGACCTTAAAGGCACGAGTCGGGATTGAATTGATGCATTATTTTGTTCAAATATTAGGCAAAGGGAGCAATGAGGAACATTAGTGAGGAGAAAAAGCAAAAAGCACCATAGAAAACACTAAATTTCTCTAAGGAGGTCGTCCCGTAGTACGACGGAGAGACACAGCGCTGCGAGGAGAGGGAGAACGCGAGATAGTACGTGTACGAAAGAGGGCGCAGGGACCACGTATGCCGTGGTGGATTACGCTGGCAGCGCGGGTAGCGCGGCGGGCAAGGCCTTAGCGCCATTGCCGCGCACTTTTGGGTCGTGATAGTGTCGCGCCCTCAGTGCTCGGGGATCCCACTATCGCAACCTGGGAAGAACTTCTGATAGTAGCCTAATCCTGACTCTTGGCTTTGAATAATGACCTTTAAGGAGGTACGGTACTCCCTGTCGAACTTCTCAAATTCCACATAAAATGCTTCATGTTCTTCTCCGTCGTAACTGGATGTTGGTGCGTAAGCGACGGAGATTGTCAAAGCAGGAGTTGAACCACATCTTCTCAACCTCAAACGTTCGATTGGGGTCGCAAGACTTTCATGTGAATTGAAGTTTATGGCCAAGTGCGTGTTGACGAGGACACCCACACCGCCAACGCCTCTGCTGTCTGTTCTTCTGCTGTCGGTTAACAGTTCTTCTCCAGTATCGAAAACGGCGTGAAATGGGCGGTGCCTTCTCGTCTTGGTCAGTCCGATGACGTCGTACTTGATCTTCCTGGCTTGCATCATCAGGTCTTCGACGTGAGCTTCGGATGCAAGCGTTCGTGTGCTGAAAGTGCAGATCGCCATCTTAGTCGATATTCGCTTAGGCAGCCTATCCGGGCCCTGAGATTCCAGCAGCCTCTCCGGAGCGGCCCAACCCAACATATGAGCTTTACGATTAGCTTGCCAGGCTCGTCCTTGAAGGCTAGCATACGAACCTCCAAGTGTAGTTAGCCCGCTTATCCTGGCAGCGTGGAATAGGGAGCTAAGTTTTGGAGGCGTCCCTGAATTGCCTCCATGTCTTCCCACTCACTTGATGCAAGCTGTTTGAACTGTGCCGCCAGATGCAGTTACCAACTGCACACACAAGAGCGCGCACACAAGCACACGTCAAAGCAACGGCATGGATACGCCCGAGCGAGACATGCTTGGTATCGATCGACACAGCACCACTAAGACAGGGAGTTCATCCCCGCTGAATCAACTTGCTCTCAGAGGCAAGTACATGATGCTTCGGTTCGCGATTCGCCCTCTATTCGCTACCTGTGTGCGCGCCACAAACCGCTAGAGACTTTCAGAAAAGGACCCTTATTGTAAAGAATCCACCATATAGCACAGTAACCGCAAGAACACTTACCACAAAACATAGGAACCGAACTGCAGAAATGGTTAAATGGACCCGCTTCAAGAACATTCATCCTGAATCAGCAGCATTTATTTCACGCACAGCGTACTTCATCTATTTGAGGAGCGCAGACAGCCAAGAAGGCCGCGATGAGATTGTTCATAGAAGCCAAAACTGGCTTCTTGGAGATGTCAGCACATAAGTGACTTAGCGCGTTTCAATATGCCCTGATTTCAAATGTTAGATGCCCCCAGTCCTCTCTCCCGTGCTTTGGCGTCGTTTTACAACATTTTCATGAAAGTGTTGCATCCATCCCTGGATAACTCAGCGGTCATAATGATGCGAAAGGCTTGTACGTAATGGAATCGACCCTGTATGCTGATGCGAATCAGAACGATTCAGAATACCCAACAAATCCTTTATAATAATCATGCATAGTTCATAGGGAATTTTTTTCAGGAATAAGAATACTCTCCTTGCTACTGAATGCCGAAGAGCATCGCGTCGCAGCGAATGCGGCAGTGCATCGAATCTAGACAGTCAGAACACGGTCCGAAACAGCTCTGCACCTGTACGTACTCTTCTGAACTTAATGGTTGTTTCAGAAAACCACTGTCCCGCCCATTCCATTATAGTTGACTCCTAGTACCTGTGCCCTCCGGTGCATGCATAACGGCGTTGGGGTACATCATAGCCTTGAAGCTCAACCTGCTCACTTCCTTTGACTAATACGTGTGTCAAAATAGTGTTCTCTCTTCTGTACGGCCTCTCGTACGTGTATTTTTCTCATCCATGTACCTCTAATATCCCTTTCCTCTGTTCTATACACGAACAAACGAATAAATCCTTCGCCTATCCTCCTCCCGACGTAGCTAATGATAATTCAATCCCAACTGACTTTGCATTCTACAAATTGTGTTAAGGTCTCATCTGTACGCCATATATTCGCTCTTTCGGTAAAAAGTGAATCACCTTTCCATTTCTTTGACTAGTCGCCGATCTCCATGTGCAATTAATAATCCCGATGCACAGATGTCCACCTCCACAGGCATTTGCTTTTCGCTTTTTATCTTTGTCAACGTGAAATCTCAATCTGCTGTAAGCGCGTGTTTATCATTTGCTTATGATGAAAAAGATTATATCTCAGTGTACTGGGTATAAAGAATTGGATTTCCAGGAAATGGCCCTCGCTTCCTCGAAACGGGTTGTTTGCCTGACTAAGGATAGATCGTGAATGCAAAAGCTGTAGCTTCATCTACACTGCCCTCCCGATATTCCCAAAGAATGAGCTAAAGAAAAATTCACAGGAGTGCCCGTTCTAACTTCCGCAGCATTTTTTGGTCAAAGTCTACCGTATGAAGGTTTTCATGATTCTCTAGTTATAGAATCTTGCATAACTTGTTTCCGCGACGCATTTTTCGCCGAATTTGAAACGCTGGCATGAACATGCACAAAAACTGGCGCACTGTGAGGATTCACACCTCGCTGTGAACCACTTCATCACCCGGTCCGTTTCCAGATTCTATCACTTTCCTAGGAAATGTGAACGAAGGGCTGGTCATCATGCGCGTACCTCTATATCATGCAAAAAATAATCAGTTTCGAGAGAGCCTGGCACTTCCCTAAAAGACCTTCCATCTTCAATGAGCCATCCACGCTCATCCAATCGACAGCAGGAGTAAGCTCCCATTCGAATAAGCTGGATCATAGGGATAACCTGAAAACCTCTAAAACTTCGGAGTCGATATCGAAAACAAATAACGCAGACCAGGGATAGAACAAAGGTAGAAGCAAGCACCAGCCAGTGGTAAAAAAGTAGGTAGGGCAGTCATCGCAGCCTTAGCACCGCTGAAGCCGGTCAAAACAGCTTTAGCAATGAAGACGTAAGCAAAACCAGCCCTTTTGCACATTCGGCTTGGACGTATGCTGAATGTTGGGGAGGGGATACGGGTCCCGCCCAAACGTGATCGGTTTACTTCAACTCGGTTGGTACACTAGGAGAATAAATGAACGCAAAGTATGGCAGCTGTGTCCAGTACTTCGGCTCAGAAGGACCGGTCTGCTCACGCCTTGACTAAGGCCTAGGAGAGGGGACGACCCGTCCTCTCTTTAAAGGCTTAGTTCTAAAGTAATCGCACATTGGCGGTTCTAGGACTCGCGTTGAAGTCGTCCCCGTCCACCGCGGGACACCATTCCTCTCTCCGACAACATTCTAGCATACGGTCCACAGCCGATGTGCCAAAAGCGGCTGCGTTTTGCTTACACTAGGCATGAATGAGCCCAAATCTACCGTCAGTTTCCGCCACAAAAGTCAGCGGTCTACCCTACTTGGTCAAATTATACTTCCTACCGACATGTCTCGCTCGCTGCCATTACTTTCATCCAATCAAATTTGAGATTATTAGACCTTTTTTTCTCCTAAATTGCAAGCACGGCTGTCAGTCGTTTCGTAAAGATATCCTAGCGAAGTAAGCGCAGAGAATTGTCAGAAGAGTCGCTCACGCTGGAATTTGGTAGAGTCGCTCATAACGAACAACCTACTGAGGATCTTACAGGGGAACGCGCTGGAATCCAGATTATTAGCCCTTCCGAAAGCGCGTATCATGGGCAGTAAGTAGTGTAGTGGCAAGTGGCAACGCTTTACCCACGCGAGCGGTCGTGGATCAAATCCTGGACCGTGAGTCGCCGGGCCATCCAAGCCCTCCATCCTGCCGGGTCGGTAATTGTACCAGACTTGTTTGGGAGAAAAAAACACTACTTCCATCGGCTGGCCCCGCAAGTCATTATATAGGCCACATCGTATTGAAACGCCACTGCGAATGTACAAATGGAAGTATTTGAACTGCTCGCCGCATCACAAAAAGGAGATGATGCAAGGCAAATGCTTTATCTCTTAAAGTATTCAGAATGCGTGCCGCATCACAAAAAGGAATTGATCAACGGCAAATGCTTTACCCTTCATCCTTTTCATGAGAAAATAACGCAACTCAAGCCTAATACAATGAGGCACCTTCTCATAGTACATGAGGGAGTCCTAAATTAGACACTCCCTGTGAGAAGGATCTGTAGAGGAAAACAGCCATTTTTCTCATAACGTTCCAGTGTGAACTGACACTTCGACAATTCCAGCGCCTCATTCGCTAGGACTTTATCTTTACAGAAGTCTAACAGCGGTTTTGCTTCTGCCACTAACTAAGAATTCTGAAAGGATTACACTTCCAAAATATAATCGAGTACAAACAAAATGCAGCGTAGAAACATGTGGTAGAGGCATGATTTTGAGGGATTGGTAGAGCGAGTGTTTTCAAGAAAAAAGGAAAGAAATGGTTGCTTCCTCAAATTGGAATTTTGTGTGTGTTGATGTTAGGAACTGTGTTTATATGCTTCACAATCCCTATTGCCCCCTGAGGGCCTTTATCGAAACATATTCAGTTGCGAGTTTTTAGAAATTTTGTAGGTGGAGTTGTCATTATGAGGAACAGTATATACATATTATAGACTGCTAGTTCGTTGTGGAAAGTCGTCTAATAGCACTAGAATCAAGGAGAGACTTCTTCGATATCTTTCTTATGGAGATTCCACTCCTGATCGCAGTCGCAACTTATTGGAAAGTGAATCATAGTAGCTGGGAGAATTACGCGTTTTCGGATTATTACATTGCTTCCGTGAGGAAATTGCTCAGTGTTTCTGTCTGTTAGGTTAAAACATATGAAAGCGAGTCTATGCATAAAGAGAATCATACTGGAAGCAGAATCTGAAAGCTCATTCCTAAAGATATTCTCCATAATCATCAGTTGTTCTTGCCGTCATCGTTGCGCATCGAGTGCCTATCTTAAAGAGTTGGCGCATATTCGGAGAAGAAGTCGCACGTCCAGATCGGTTGATTTCTTTTTTGAATTGGGCGTCGGCGACGGAAATGACAAGCATTGTGGAAATATATAATAGAAGCTATATGCACATCAGTGTGAAAAGGCTCTCAGGCTGCCTATTGCTGGACGATCCATGAAAGCAGCGGTGAAGCGTTGTCGTGGAGAAGAGATGCGGCACCCACTCTTCTCCACGACAACGGTCGAAGGTCTTTCAGGAAATGCCCAGCTTTGTCGAAACGGTTTTTGCGTGATATAGGCGTGCGTGCATGCGTGTGCACATGAATGTAATTCATTTTTCCTGAGCAGCCCTCAGAATACTACGAAAAGGGGTGTCGATGTGGTTCGAATCCTCACAGTGACAAATTCTTGCACTTTGTGTTTTCGTTTCAAAATTCGCGAAAAATAGCGTCGACGTAAACAACGTATGTCATATTTGTAGTTAAGGCTGTCAGCAACCTTTGTACGTAGACTTTGGCCAAAAACCGGTGAAGAAAGCTAAGAACGGCAGTACTTTAAGAAATTTTTCTTCCCTGCTTTTGTGGTATCGCTCGTTAATAATGTTAAGTGATAGGTGCGAAATGATCTATACAATCGCAATAATATATTAACCAGAGAATCAATCTTTTAGAAGAGGGAAAAAACCACTGTCCTTCGCACAGAGAGGAAGGGAAAAGACCCCCTTTTTTCCCAACCGCCTTCGATAACAAGAAATACCAAGAATCAGTGAAATTATGAAAAAAGATAGAGAAAATCTCAAGCGCCTCTAAGAACAAATGAAAGCAGGAAAAAACCGTCTCCAGCCTTATCGCCAGCCTTTTATGCGGATCTACGCAGGCTTATACAAAACATTTTCTAGGGGGAGCAAAACATCCTTATCTCCGAAGCAATGGGAAGCGCAGCTCTTTAAACAAAACTCATCGCACAAAAATTTGAGGAATCGCGGCTTCTTTCCGCGATAGCAATAAAACAAACCCCTCCATTGAGAAGAATATATTTTTCTTCAGAAGCGGTCTAATGGAACCGGACACAAAAATTTCGAAAACTCAAATGGTTCTCTTCCTAAAAAGTATTTGAAATAGGACGAAAGTTCAATACTTCGAAAAAATCGTCCCGTTGTTCCGTTTTTTGTGCACAAGCGAGTTTTCGACATTCACATATTCATAACTTTCTTCATACCCAACTTTTTTGCAGATATCTAAGGCCAATTAAAAATTAGGAGATTAGCGCTCTCAAACAAGTACCTGACTTTTTTTCCAACGATCACGCTCAAAAAATAGTCCCGTTGTTCCGCTTTTGGGGGGCTTGTGGTCCGATTTTTGAGAAGGCGCGAGTTTTCGACATTCAAATGTCCATAACCTTCTCCATAATCAACTTTTTGCAAATGTCTTTTTGCAAACTAGAAGATTAGAGCTTCCGAATAAAAGCTAAAACTTTTTAAAATAATCACTCGCTCAAAAAATAGTTCCGTTGTTCCATTTTTTCCACCTTGATTTTTTTCAAGCCATTTTCCTGGGCCGCGACTATGCAGTTTTCAAAGGTCCATAACCTCCTTCAAAATTGATGTGATGAGAAGCGGTAAGAATTCTTAGAATCTACTTGAATACTTGAAGAGTACTTTATATCAAGTGTGAAATTTCCCTGATGCTCTTTCTTCTGACTGGATTTCCCTAAGGAAATTCAATTCAGCAAATTCGCTACATTTTGTTCCACTTATATTTGATTTAAAACCATAGAAATTCTATTCGGGAAGTTTGCCTGTTTACGGCCGCTGACAGAG